ACTTCAGCGTTGAACACTGTTTATTAGTTAGTGACATCACTTGTTACTGTTACTAGCCGTGTGAAACACAACTCCAGTAACAGTACCAACCTCTACTTACCAAATCTAAAATGCACTAGAAATCACTATTACTGGCCTTGTACTGTTCCCTGGCGGAACACACCCACTGTTCCCTGGCGGAACACACCCTTCGTCTCACCCTACCACGTTTCTTCCCACTATCTGATTGGTCAAAGTCACCTTGGGAGCGGCCTGATTGGCCGTCGTCCGATGTTCTACTCATCTTTCGCTCGGCTATTTTCAGCCGGCGTTAGATGTCGTTCCTTTCACCTAGTGACTTTGCTAGTGTTTTCTCTAGTAACGAGAAAAATCTCGTTACAATTGTTTGTAACTGATTTCTCTTTTGTGTTCTGTTTTGTTTTGTCTTGTAAATATAGACTCGAAAGGGTCAGTTAAAATTTAAAACAACCTTCAGTTATTTCACATCCCAGGTGCCTATTTTTCAGCATTATTCCCATCCGTGCCCTTGGTTGAAAGATACCAGGCTAAAAAGCGAAAAAGTTAGATTCATATGGGTTACGTTTGAAACTATTATTGGATCTAGTTCTTCCCCTATTCGAATTGAATGTTTTATCTTTAGATTGGGCAACAATTTTCGGTATAATCAATTGTTCGTATTAAACGAGTGATCAATATTGATATCAAGTCACCCATCCTTAATATAACACAATTGATATTTCGGAAACGGTTAAGGCAAAAATTTGACGAAATTCACGAATCTCATTACCTACTGTTACCCAGAAGAAACTCAGCAAAATTTAAATTTCAAAATTTTATTCGTAGTTTTTTTTCGGAGAATTCACCATAGACGAAACAAAAAATTGTGAAATCGTGTCAACCGCTGGTTTAAATTGACAAATCGAATTTTATTGTATCCTTCATCGAATAAAATAACTTTTCTGATTTGTTTAATATGGACTTCGTCTAATGGTACAGTTCCATCGGCTGAAATTTGAACAAAAAAAATTGTTCCCTGGATACGACTCAAGCTTCGAAATTAATTAGATATTTCCCTTTAGAAACAAGGTTGCGAGATGGTGGCTCTTTATAGAAATTTGTATTAATTTTTCCATAATAGAGTAGATCATAAAAAGCTCTGAATGGGATATCGACTACCTTGTTCGAGAAGTGTCAATTCCTTGAGTGATCGACTTCACTTGTTTAATTGTGACTGCATAGAATCTACAAAAAACTTTTGAAAAAGCCCGCCGTCTGGCAACTCTGTCTAAATTCTGGGCAAACAAATGATCTTCTCAATTTTTCCAGAAAAATCTCTTTAAAAGAATTTTTTAACCTGAGAAACTGAAGACGTTCATTTGTTTGCAACGAACCTATCGGGAAATAAACAATAATTTCGAAACTGTCGTGGTTTTATAAGTGAGAATATCTACACACTATAAGAATGAATGTGCACCCGTATTCTAACAAATGCGCGCGGTAGCAGACTGAGTAATTACCGTTATTTTTTTTTTAATTTTATTTTGCCATCAATTTTATTGATGGTTGGCTTCCAAATGGAATGCCTCCAATCTGAATTGGAATATCTCCTGAACCAATCATTCGATCTAGCCCATCTGCAATACCAAACATTGCAGTTGAATCTTTCTGCCAAATCTCAAGTTGATAGATTGATTTATGAAAATCAGAGAGGGCGTACAACGCCCTTTGGTTCATCTAAATAGGGCACAATGTAACGAATATTCTAAAAGAAAGAGAACTGAAATCAGTTGAGCCATTTTTGAGATATTTGAGAAAATCATGTCAGATACAAAGTTGAATATCTCCTGAGCGAATCATGCGACCTGCCAAACTTTGCAGACATAAGAAATGATTAACTAACGGTCAATTTTTATGTTCTCACAATGTTTTCGAGATATTTCAATTTTCATGTTTTTCAAAAAATGGGTTGTACGCCTTCTCTGATTTTTAAAGATCAATCTGTCAACTTAAAATTTAAAATAAAGATTCGTCTTGTGATTGCAATGTTTACATTACATGTAGATGGTATTGAAAATGGGCTAGATCGGACGATTCGCTCAGGAGATATTCAATTTTGTATCTGAAAAGATTTTCTCAAATATCTCAAAAAACATTCAAGTAATTTTATGCTTCTTTTTTTCAAAATATTCAGTACATTGTGCCCTATTAGATGAACCAAAGAAATGTACGTATTCAAAGAAAAATATGAAGAAATTTCTACTTTCATGTCCATAGGGAAGCCAACCATAAAGGATATTAATACCAAAACAAAATAAAAAAAAAATAAGTACCATTTGAAGTAAGCATGATATGTTTTCTACCGTTAGAAACGGCCAACGGCTTTTTTTTTCAATTTTTATGCAGCTTGTATCTATGCACATAAATTGCTAATTATTATTGTCGGTGGAAGTTTCATCTACGCTGAAGACTGTTCACATTTCTCAGATCATTATTATTTTTTTTACATTATTTCTTCTCGTTCTTTAATATCTTCAATGTATTTAGAGTCGTCGTTCAGTCACTTATGTGACACTTATGTGTACACAGTATTATGTATTTATTTTATAAAATTCGACTATATCTATGTGAGGTATTTCTTTGGAATATACTAGAGTCATGTTCTTAAAGTCATCTATGGGGATGACATTATTTCATTGGTGACGTTTTATGTGGAACTGGATAGGTCTGTTCATATCGGCTTAGAAAAGATCCATCCTATCGTAGTGGATAAAGTATTGCGGTTTGATGTTCCCGCATCTTGCTCCCTCCACTGCCCCGTCGTAAAGGAATATCGTGAGTGAGTTTATGACGTTGTTATGTATATTTTCCAAGTCTTGAAAGTCGATTCTGGGAAATTCTGGTCGGTTATACAGGGTTTTATTGCTAAATTGATGATCATAATTGCTACGCGCCGGTCGGTATAGCGATAAATAAGATGTAAGGATTTTCCTCTCAAATCCTCTTAAGCACTCGGCTTGGTGGGTAGCATCGGGTAGTTTCTAAACTAAGCTGTACGAGTTCTAGCCACTTATCATCTCGGACTTCTTCAAAATATCGAGCTCCATCGTTCTTCTTACGGCAATGTGTTTTTTCATAGACGAGGAGAAGTTTATGAGGCGTTCTCCACCTATTATATAGTAACTAGCCCCCCGAAATTCCTACACCAATATGCGGATTTCCTACATAATTTCTTCAAAAATTATGGACCTTCAGCCGCAATGGAGTGAATAAGGTACTTACAGTGGTAGGGATTCACTGAATAATTCGATCGGCACCTGTCGTGCATGTTTAAGTAATTGGGCTCGGTGAACAATGGTGTTGCTATCGCCAATTATATTGTCCCATTGCGTGCTCTACCTGTTGCGTGAATTCACATGTTTGGCCAAAATCACTTTGCAATTGGTGGTCATCAGAGGCGGGCTTCCGATAATTGTGATTATCAAGGACGCTATAGAAACGGCCTCCCTGACGTCGTTAGAAACTTTACTAGTCGCCGAGGCTACTTGCTAAGCCCCCCCCTTCCCGCCGCTCACTCTCTTGTGAGTATAAAAAAAATTATAAAAAATAGGAATTACTCGACTGAATTATTTTCTTCAATTGTTAAAGTTCTGGGACTTTTCGAAATTAGTCAGTGCCACAGATTTTGATAATTTTCTGGTCAGCGACTGTTATTCTGATTTTGTTTAGCCACAAGGCTGCGTGATCTCAGAATTATTTGTCTTGAATTTGTCTTCGTTTAATTTTGATTTTTTTCGTTGGACGGTCAGATATAGTTATCGATTTTCACGCTACAGTGGTTTCGACTCATTGAATTTCATTCTGAATAGTTTTCTTTTTTTTTTATTTAAAAATTTCTGATTAATTTTGACTTTTCGTCACCGGTAGCACTTGAAACTCGTGACTCAGTTGCCTCTGATATTTTCTCAATTCTGAGTTCATTCTGACTAACTTATTTTATTATTTATTTCTTTTTTTTAAGATTCATGAACTTCTGAAAATTGTGATATCAAATTACCTAAACGATAGTCGTAAAAGAATATGTTGGATTTTGTTAGTAACGCGTGGTCATCGTTAAATGGGATTTTATTCCTTCTTTTCTATTTATGTTCATTATTTTTTCACTATATCGAGATGAATTGATTTCATTAAAAGTTGTTCTCCACGACGATTTATCTTATTTGATTTCTGATATCCAGTCACATCCCCTTTCCGCAACTAAGGCCTGTTAAGTTGCTGGAGTTATAGAAGAAAGTAGAGACGGATTTCGACGGTGGTTATTCCGTCTAATGACCTGGTGCCTGACCCTTTATTTTGTATTTTAGTTTTCGGGATTGTTGGTGCTAAAAGGCGGGTATAAAGGAAGGAAAATCACGTACTGTAAATTTCATGAGTGATATCTCGCAGCCTTAATTAAGAACTTTTTTCTTTTCTGAGTTCTTCAATTGACGATGATGTGTTAAAAAGCTCAAATTGTTTATTTCTCAATTTTCTTTTTTTTCAGTATATATATTTATTAGAACAAAAATTAATATTCATTTGGATGTTTATTCGTATAGATATATTCCTCTAAAAACATTGTTCATTTATGTTTTAGTGCTGGTGTGGGCCGTACCGGTGCCTACATAGTAATTGATGCTATGTTGAAACAGGCCAAAACTAAAGGTGAAGTAAATATATTTGGTTTCCTCAAATATATACGTACACAGCGTTACTCTTTGGTACAAACTGAAGAGCAGTATATTTTCATTCATGATGCTCTCCAGGAGGCGATTGAGAGTGGAGAAACTAATATCAAAGCTGAAAATTTGCATAAGTTTGTACAAGATATGCTATCGCCAATGAACACGCAGTCAGATCCGTGGAATTCTTTGGAGGCACAGTACAAGCTCGTTACATCTTGGAAACCGAAGGATTTTAATATAGTATCGGCGACAAAGCAGTGTAATGAGAATAAAAACCGAAATCCTGAAATTATATCCATTGAAAGTTCACGAGTGCATTTAACGCCAAAAGCCGGGATTGATGGCAGTGATTACATCAATGCATCATGGTTTCCTGGATTTAATAGAAATCGTGAATTCATAATAACGCAGCATCCACTACGGGATACCATAAAAGAGTTTTGGCAAATGCTTTGGGATCATAATTCACAGACAGTTGTAATGTTAACAAAATGCGATGTGGATTATCCAGAGTTTTGGCCAAGTGAAAAGGAGGAATTGAAAACTGATAACTTTCGAGTTTATTTATGTGGAATAAAGAAAACTACAGGTGGTGTTGTACTAAGAGAAATGATTATGAAATCACTTCAAGATGATTATGAAATGACTGCAAAAGTAATTCAGTGCCCAACGAATCATCGTCGAATGTGGCCGCATGACGATAACCCAACTGCTTTTATCAGTTTGACACAAGAGCTTCATAGGGATTATCAGAATGGTCCTATTGTCGTAGTGGATAAATTTGGAGGAATTGAGGCGGCTTCATTCATTGTGCTGACGACACTCATGAAACAGCTAGATTATGAAAAAACTGCCGATATTTATATGCACTCAAAATTATTGTATATGAAGAGGCCTGGGATATTGCGTTCTAAGGTAAGTTTGAAAATTAATGTCAGTATATGGGATTTGTTCTCACAAAAATTTTCACGGCATGAGAAACCTACCTACATACATCGGTACAAATATTTTGCTCAATTTTTTTTCACGCCTTAAACAATTTTACTCGTTTCTCATAATAATAGTTGTCTTTTGGTCCATATTATGTCGAAAAGAAAAAAAAAATTTCCTCGACTCTGGCCAACTTTTTCGTGTTTTACGAGCACTCACGGGTGGGGGACTCATAACACAAAATCGTGAATAACGTCATCATGGTAATCTGAGGAGGTATTCTAAGGAATCGATGTCGGTCATTTTATGTTTGAGCGCATGTCGATCTTGTCTTTTAAAATATGAAATAAATCTAAAATAAACGTTAATATAAATAGAAAATCGCCGAACAAATTTGAGTTCAATATTTAGTTTAGTGCTGCTGATAGTTTTCAATTTACAGTGCACAGGGAAAGATTCTTGTCAAGTGATTACTTTATGCCCATTGGCTTGTGCTACGTCACGTTTTCCATTAAATTCGATAATAATTAACAAATAAATAATGCAAAACTATGAGTATTAATTTCTCCGGTTTTAAGCCTCTCTTACGGGAATAGTTTGGGATCGGAGTAGGGTGAATTGCTAAAATAATATAGGAAACAATTTTTTTATTCACAGTTCCAATTTTATTCAATTATTAAAGTAACATTTATGTGATTAAACAAATTCCCTCTCATTATTTTACTACTCAAATTTCAATCACAGACATGCAATTTTGCTCTTTCATCGCTTTAATTGATGTAATGTGTTCTAAATCTCAATATATATATTTTTTCATTTTACATTTTTGTGCACCAAGAAAAAAAAATTAATAATAAAAAAATTCAACTCGTCCAATTTTTCCGCCATTTCGCTTGATGTAATCCAAGTTCCGTGAATTCTGGTCTTTTTTGAACAATGATTTTCAACACCAATCAAATGTTTATCACTTGTCAAATGTTTAAAACTGAACTCACCTTAATTTCTGGTCAATAATAAATTATATGTACCACAATTTCATTGGCTTGCACTTTTGTAAACTTGCGAAAGTGTAACACGAAGCAAACCGCGGAAAAAGGAATTCGGAACTGTTCGTACTAAGGGATCTTTCCCTGACTACTACTATTGATGACTACGATTGATGCAGATTGACTACATCGTTGTTATTGCTCACAATACTTCTCAATACTGACTACTAATTATATAACTAGTCACAACCAACTAATTAACTGTATAAGTAGTGACGACTAACTAACTTTGCTTCAATTGTCTTACTCCATGCATGTTGGGCCAAAACCATCACCTTCGTTCTCGCAACTCCGACGACTTTGGAACGACAAGACCATAAAAATCTAAACGAAACTCTGGGGGTAATCAGCAGCTCATTCAACTCCTTAAAAATGTGTTTAGGGCGCCAGCCGATTTTTAGCTACGCGGAATCGACGAACCGCAACCATAACTCTAACCGTATTCAAAACTCAATTTTTCCCTGATCATCCCCAGATTTTCCTATCAACACAAACTAGACCTAGAGCCGTGGAGGTACGAGCCTATGGGACTGCTCGGTTGCTCAGTGTGCGGGTCGTGGAGAGAGGGGTGGATTCGTGGACGAGAGCCTCAATTATCAAACTTCGAAATAATTTCAAGAACCTGAACTAAACTATTCGGCTATTTATAAGGACGGGGATTCGGGTAGGAAAAATAAAACCAATCGGAACTATGCTTACTTGTTTCACTATTAAACAAACAAAGAAAAATGAATTCTTTCTTTTCTCTTCTTCGTCAGAAAGCTTACAATTAATATACTCGCTTAGTCTACATTTTAGACATACGACTGGCATTCGTCCAAAGGCGAAGGATTTAATTTTAATAAAATGTACGGTGAATAATAATAAACGGGAGTTTAATGGGGCAGTAATGGAGAGTGAACGGCTGTTAATTTTATTAAATTAATTATGTTATTCAGGTGGGAAAGATAGGAAACTGCCGGGAATTCTAATCGGGTTCGAGCGAGAGAGAGAGAGAGAACCTGACCCTAATTTTCCTACCGATCCGTTAATAGGGCCTAAATTCTATTAGGTAGCCTTATTCAGTCGTTCGGAAACGACTTTATTCGATTTGGTAGCCCAATCCTTACTAATTCACTAAATCAGGAATATTGGTCGGTTAGGTAGCAGTTGAGGTAGCGGGATGACCATTTCGGTAGCGGAAATGGGCCGCAGGTTTAGGGAATCATTAGGTAACTTATTTCCCCCGTTAGGTAGCGTTATCCGGGGCTTTGGTAGAGGAATCGGTTATCTCTAGCGAAATCTGTCTTACCTACGGGGCCACCACCACACCGGGGGTGTAATAAAATTTTCCGGTAGCGGAAAGGTCCTCCGACGCAAGGGGGCCTTAGATAACCCGACCCCTTAGATAGGTAGCGCGATCCGAGGGTTTAGTAGATACCCCCGCGACGTCTAGTTAAATCAGTAGCGTCAAGGGGGTAGGTAGCCCTGCGAGGGGTTCAACAACGATTCTAGGTAGCGAAAAGGGTTCCCCGACGTAGGGAGACCTCCGGTAACGTATTTTCCCGGTTAGGTAGCACAACCCTTACCGATTATCTAAATCAATAAGGTCCGCAGGGTAGGTAGCCGTACAGGTAGCGAATCGAAATATGGAAAATTGAGGAAAGGGCCTCAGACCCTGGGGAATATATAGGTAGCCTGTTCCCCTGTTTAGGTAGCGTAATTTGGGGGTTTGGTATAAACTTTCTTACCCGTTAGGGATTACTTCTCTAACGAATTAATTAATTATGTATCCGATGGCGTCTCCGAGACTGCCAATATTTAATCAGACTAATAAAAGTAATCATAATTCGCGCGAGGTAGCATGATAGCTTTTGTGGATTCCAACCATGAAAATTTATTAACTACGAGATAGCGTCCCCATGCCCAACCGGAATCCACGAAATGGCGGACAATTACGTCTCGGGGAGCATTATTGCATCACCCAGAGAAATTGAGCGAGCCTCGCGAAGGTAGCCGAAAGTTTTTTCTAAAAGGTAGCGAAAAAAATGTTAATGCAAAGGTAACAATAAATTGAATGGAAGGTTAGTGATAAATTTTTAATAACAGGTAGCAATTAAGTTTAAGTCCAGGCAGCAGAATAAACCCGGTAAAGGTAGCCAAAATTATTAGGTAGCGGGGTCTTCTCCTGAGCCCTTCGGGTGAGCCCGGAAAACCCAATAAAGTAGGCAACAGGTATCGAAAATTTAGTGTTAGAGAGCGTAGACAGTAGGTAGCCATAGGTAGCATGGGAGAGGGGTATTCCGAGCCGCGTGGAATGCCTCATCCCGTATATTTCGCCTTTTCGTGGCGAAATTAGATTCAAAAAATCTGCTTAAACGATTAGATAGCTATTGGGTAACACTAGGGAGCATCAGGTAGCCTTAGGGAGCATATTTATCCGTTGAGAGGGGCCTTTTGGCTTTCTCAACGGTGAGTTTCCCCATATGGCGTCATATCGCGAGGTAGCGACGCCATTTAAAATTCTGCCCGTTCGCGACCCGTAATTATCGGAAAATTACATTTTCCGCACTCGATTTGCCTTTATCAATCCACTGGTACTTACCATGATGCCAGTGGAGTCCTCAAGAATGGGTTTTAGTCCGACAGATAGCTGGTCGGCGGGAGTTGTGTCGTCTTTATGGGGCACTCAATAACTCGACACACGTGGTTGCGATAACGGCCCAGGGTGAACTAACGCCGGCCGGTCGCGTGGGTCCGTTCGAACCTGTTGCTCGGGGTGGGGGCGACTCTCTTCGAGTGCACCCGTCCGGTGGCGACGCGCGTGGCTAGATACGGACTTATCGTATTCGATATAGGGTGTGTTCCGCCAGGGAACAGTACAAGTCCAGTAATAGTGATTTCTAGTGCATTTTAGATTTGGTAACTAGAGGTTGGTACTGTTACTGGAGTTGTGTTTCACACGGCCAGTAACAGTTACAAGTGATGTCACTAACTAATAAACAGTGTTCAACGCTGAAGTCTTCCGTTAAGGCCCGGATGGAGGGAATTTTTTCTTGATTGGCGATTTTACGCCCTCCTACTTCGCGGTCAAGAACCGAACCTTGATCTCAAGCGATGCCTTGTCGGTAACTACGGCAATCGCTGCAAACCAGGGAAACATTGGACA